TTCATCTAAAAAATGGGTAGATAATAGCTCCAGACTCAGAGGGTATTGTCGGGATTCAGTGAATTGATGCCTGGGGAGGGCTTAGTACCAAATCTGGCAAGGAGGGGGCCCATCATTGTCAGCTTTCGATACCAAGAATCCTTGATGATAAAGAAAATGTGGTATATACATATGATGGGATATTATTCAGCCTTAAAAAGAAGGCAATCCCGCCACTTGCAGCAACACGGATGGACCTGGAGGACGTTATGCTAAGTAATAAATCAGACCACAGAAAGTCAAATACAGCATGATCTCACTCATATGTGGACTCAGACATAATCAAATTCACAGAAGCAGAGAGTAGAATGGTGGTTGCCAGGGCCTGGGGACTGGTGGTCCAAGGGTTTCGGTCATACAAAATAAAGCTCTGGAGATCTACTGTATAACATAGAGCTCATGACTAACAGTGCTGTATTATATACTTCAAAATCCACTAAGAGGATAGATCTTATGTTAAGTGCTCTTACCACAAAAGAGAAAAAAAAACAAAAACAAAGGGGGCAGGAGGAACTTTTGGAGGTGATGAATAAGTTTATGGCATCGACAGTCATGTTGGTTTCACGGGTATATACTTATCTCCAAACACATCAGGTTGTATGCATTAAACATCTACGTCTTTATATATGTATGTGTGTGTATAAAGGATCCTTGGTGAGGCAGGAATGGCCAGTTCTGTGCCTGAGGTGGGGTCAACCTCTCTTCCCATTTTTATAAGCCTTTCTTGTCCCCAGCCTGCACCTTCCCAGCTCTCTGATTGCCCTGGGGATTGCGGGGAAACAAGCAGGACAGGGACTAGAGTTTAATAAACTCCCTCTGAAGTGGCCAGAAGGCCCCAGCTATGAGCTGTCTGCAGTAGTTTTCACTGCAAGCTTCACAGTAATACCTTCCGCTTTTATTTATGTTATATTTCCCTGTTTACTAAGCCCTGTTGCTACACGCCCTCATCTGCCTGCCGATTGCCTCACTTCACTTCTCTGCCAGTTCTGTGAAGGGGCAGATTCTCATCTCCATTTTATAGATGAAGCAGAGAGGTTAAGTGACTTCTTCAAAGTCACTCAGCAGAGTAGATACAGAACCCAGCTCTTCTGGTTCCAAGATCAGGGTTTTCCTCTACCACTTCCTGCTGCAAGCCAGCAGTTAATAAAACCACTTCTGGAAATAGTTGAGAGCCAGAGCCAGAAAAAAGCACATTTTGAACTGGCCAAGAGGGATTTGAAAAACAACACGTGTCAAATCCTCAGCTTTTCTCCTGATGTGGCTGCTTGTTCCTTGTCCTTTGTTCCTCTTCATGTTTCTCTGGCTACCTTCACTTTCTCACCCAGAAGCAAAGCAGCAGACTGGTTCATCTGTTCATTCATTCATTCACTCACTGTTATGGACTGAATTGTGTTCCCCTCAAAATTCATTGTGTCGAAGTCCTAATGCCCAGTACATCAGAATGTGACTGTATTTGGAGGTAGGACCTTTAAAGAGATAATTAATGTAAAATGAGGTCAGATGGGTGGGCCCTAATCCAATATGACTGGTGTCCTTAGAGGGAGAGACTAGGACACAGACAACACGTAAATGGAGAGGCGATCATGTGAGGACACAGGGAGAAGGTGGCCATCTGCAAGCCAAGGAGAGAGGCCTTAGGAGAAACCTGCTGACACCGTGATCTGGGACTTCCAGAACTTTTCAGAAAAAAATGTTTGTTGTTTTAGACCGCCAGTCTGTGTTATTTTGTTATGGCAGCCCTGGCAGACTAATACACTCATGTATTCCTTCATCACACTTTCCTATACATCTTGCCATTTGCAGGTATTTGCTTAACTGTCACCCAGCGAGGTTTCCTAACCACCCTCTTTAAAATCGCAACCCCACGTCCCCGTGCCTCATACCCACTAGTTTCCTTTTCTGCTTCATTTTTCTCTGTAGCACTTATCACTATCTGGAAATCCATATATTTGCTTATTTCTGTGTTTATTGCCACCCACTCCCCACACCGGTATAGAAACACAGTGAGGGCAGGGATTTTGGGGGCTGTTTAGTTCACTGCTGCATCTGCAGTGCCTCGGTCACAGAAGGTGCTCCATAAGTGGCACCCCCCGCCCTGGTTTGCCATCCATGGCTTGCAGAACTTTGAGTTGCTCTTTTAGAATTATGTGTGTTTGCCTTTAATTTTACCCTTTTAGATATCTTTACAAAGGTGAAGATCAGCATGGATGAGAAAAGCAGGAACATGAGAGCACTTTCTGGGGTGATGGAGATGTTCTGTATCTTGATAGGGGTTTGGATTGCGAAGCTGTGTGCCTTTGTCAAAACCCATTAAGTGGTATACTAAAGATTTGTGCGAACTACCATTTGGAATTTTACCTATACACAAATATTGAATTCTGGGGAATAATAATCTTGCTGGGAGCGCACTGCAGGTGTGAATATCTGAGCTTCAGTTAGAGTAGTAATATTATTTGCTGAGCAATTACTATGTGTCAGACACTGTGATGTTATGATTCTGATCAAATCATGAGCCCCATGAGGACAGAGACAATCCTTTTCTCATTTTTGGAACCACAACACTGTATATGGCATATAGTCTGCGCTCTGTAAACATTTACCAAATAAATGAGGTATATAACTGTTCTCCCCAGGTCCATCACCACCAGTTTAACTGGTTTAAATGTTTAGATTTTAGATTAGTCAGGTGAGGCTAAGTTATCTAGTGGTGATAAGTGAATCCCCGAATCTCAGTGGCTTAAGAAGACAAATGTTTATTTCTCGTTCCTGCTACACATCTGAATTAGGGTATAGGAAGCAGGGGTGGGTCTCTGCCTCACTCAGTCACTCAGAGACTCAGGCTGACAGATATTCAGACACCTCCACCCCTGCACTCTTGGTCGCCAAGCCAGGGTAAGAGAGAATGGATGTTTGCACCCTGCTTCTTCATGACACTGGTCACTTCTGCTAGAGCCCTTTGGTTAGAACTAGTTACGTGGCCTCACTTAGCTGCAGAGGAGCTGTGAAATGTAACCTTCTTTGACCACCCCCCAAAAAGAGGGAACTAAAAGGTGACTTGGTGGACCCATGGCATTTTGTGCCATGTTTAATCACTTTCCTTGAAGTGGAACGCACTTGTGATATGTGGCTAAACAGTTCCAAGGTGGAAAGAAATCGTCCATTTCTTTTTATCTATTTATTTATTTTTGGCTGCGTTGGGTCTTCGTTGCTGCGCGCGGGCTTTCTCTAGTTGTGGCGAGTGGGGGCCACTCCTCGCCATGGCGCGTGGGCCTCTCGCCATGGTGCACGGGCCTGTCACCACGGTGGTCTCTCTCGTTGCGGAGCACGGGCTCCAGGAACACAGGCTTCAGTAGCTGTGGCACGCAGGCTCAGCAGTTGTGGCACATGGGCTCAGTAGCTGTGGCATGCGGGCTCTAGAGTGCAGGCTCAGTAGTTGTGACGCACGGGCTTAGTTGCTCCGCAGCATGTGGGGTCCTCCCGGACCAGGGCTCAAACCTGTGTCCCCTGCATTGGCAGGTGGATTCTCAACCACTGTGCCACCAGGCAAGCCCAGAAATCATCCATTTCTCTCCACTTGTCTGAACTCCCAGCAGAGACTGGCACAAAAAAGGTGCATTGTCAGGGTTTGTGGAATGAATAAATACATGAATAAATCAAATGAATGATCATCTAACTTTTTGCTTGGCTTTGAAATGCACACACTCTGAGTCATAGTTAATTCCCTCACTCCCAGGCTGAACCCTTTAAAAGATCCTAATTAGATTCTTAGAAGAAATAATATCCATCAGACAAACAAATGACAGGAGGTTGCCTGTGGAGCTAAACTCCAGGCTGAGAAAATGTAATAAGAGGGCCTATGCCTCTGGGGACTAGACAGATATGAGGGGGAAAGGTCATGCCAATTCATAGCAGGCACCATGCCCAGGAAGAGTGTCCTTCAAGGATCAGCACCCTATTCGCTGCTAGTCTGACAAGGAAGAGGCATCACTTTTATGTGACCATAAGGACATCCTTGGTTTCTGAAAAATTAAGCTCCAGAGAGTTCTGGGTTGTTGACAAGGGTGTTTTACAACCAAAAGTGCTGTATTATGGGCAATATGGGGAATGTCAGAACCATCTCTACGCTGCAATTTGGCAAAGCACCAGCAAGGCCTCCTGGGAAAGCATGACACCTTCCTGTACTGGCCTATTTGTTATTCTCCTGTGTGAATACACATGGTTTGTCACAGTATCGTAAGGTCTCACAAGGGACCTCAGAATCATTCCAGAACAACCAGCTCAGTTTGCAGATGAAGAAACTGGAGCCCAGACAGATTAAACTTAGCACCGTTTGATATCTGTGGCTGGGCAGGTTGTGCACTGCACAACTTAGAGGGTGCTGATAACACAGGTCCCATGTGAGTAGCGCCTCCTGGAGGTGTGAGGTTTGATCGTCCTACATCCTTCCATTGTGAAGAAAAAATGATCTGCTGCTTTGAATGAAAAATGTGTACAAATTTCAAGTATCTTTGAACTGAGATGATTTAAAAATGATTAGATTTCCAAAATTTTGAAGAGTCGCATATTTTTGTTTTCTTTCTGAAAGTCAGTGTTTCATTGCAGCTAAGAGCTCAAACTCGGGAATCAAGGGAGAAATGTAATTTGACCATTAATTAGCTGTGACCTTAGGCAAATCAATTTACCTCTCTAACATCAGGCTATTCGTTTGTAACATGGACGATGTTACCTACAAGTTACCTATCCCCCCTATTTTTTTGCCTTCTCTGAATTAGTTCCAGGTAGGAGTGGGCCCATCTTAGACTATGGATCACTAAGCCAGTCAGTTGGGAAATACTCTTCCCTGCTGTCGCAGACGTCTTTGCAACCAGGGGTATCTATGTGATCCTGTTTTGGCCAAGGGGAGTGCTGCTTTCATTTCCAGGAGATTCGATGCCACTTGAGTTCTTCTGATTCTTTTACAGAGTTGATAAGTCTTGGAGACTGTGTCCAGCTGGGAAGAGAATCCATCTGCCAAGCTCTGAATCAGAAATCAGAAACCCAAGTTCTCACTCCAGCTGTGCCAGTGGTCCTGTTGTGTGAGCCACTTTTCCTTTGGGGATCTCGGTTTTCTCATGCAAAGTGAAGGGGGTTGGGTGGTGCCTGAGAGGTTATTGATTTATTTATGTCCACATAGAGGACTCTTCAGACATCATACCTGACCCCACTGCCCATCACCCTTTTAGTTCCTCTATGAGGGGAAGGTGCTAGTCGGCTCCCTGAGAGTCCAGGACACTCCCTGGGCCATGGGTCACTAGTGGGAGGGGTCACTGTGTGGCAATGGCTGCAGCTCTGTTCAGCCCCTCCCGCACTCCATGAGGCTGGGCAGGCTCCAAGATTTATATTCATGGATGGGGCGGGGGATTAAGAAGCCCATTTTATTCTAGAGCTTAAACTGAGTGCTCTAGAAAAGTGCTCCCTTTTTAAAGGGAGTTTTATTTTTTTCCTTTTTTAAGATGGTAGTATAGTTGATTTACAGGGTTGTGCTAATTTCTGCTACACAGCAAAGTGACTCAGTTATACACTATATATATACATTCTTTTTATATTCTTTTCCATTGTGGTTTATCCCAGGAGATTGGATACAGTTCCCTGTGCTATAGAGTAGGACCTTGTTGTTCAGCCATTCTACATGTAATAGTTTGCATCTACCAACCCCAAACTCCCAGTCCATCCCTCTCCCTCCCCCTCTCCCCCTTGGCAACCACAAGTCTGTTCTCCATGTCTGTGAGTCTGTTTCCCTTTTATAGATTGGTTCATTTGTGCCATATTTAAAGGAAATTTTACACTGGTGATTATTAGGTCTAGGTTCAACTATTAATAAAGTGTCTTGGTTCCAATCTAGCTACTGTCCCTTGCATGTGGCTCCCTAAGTAACATTGGGAATGAGGTGGAGTGAGGGGGTGGTATAAGGAGATTGACAGGGGCAAGATTCAGGCATTCCTGGATCCCTGATCTCAGTAGCATCTAAAAGATGAGCAAAATCTCAACCCAAGCTAATTCCTGCTGTAACCAAGCAGGGTCCTATGAGGCCTTCCCAGAATAGACCCCATCCATGTCTTCTGCCCGCCTTCTGTCTATAGAAAAACTTTAGTCAAAGAAAATATTTAATCAGAGAAGTGAGAAAATGCAGAAAGAAAGGAAAACAGTCAAGCAAGACAAAATAATAATACTTTAGCCATTAAACAAAGTCAAGGACGTTTAGCTCCTCCTCAAGCACTGTGGATAATATTCTGAGCCATGTCCTTTGAGCTGTTTTGCAAATACTGAAATCCCCACCAGGTGGAAGAAGTTAGCTGTACGCTGCCCACAAGCATGTGGACCCCACGTCAGTTAGAACTGGAAGGTTGATGACGCTGACTCCCGCTTACCTCACCACCAACCAATCAGAAGAGTGTCCACAAACCGATCACGCCTTGCTCCTTGAGCACTACCCCCTCCAGGAGGGGACACACAGTTTTAAGGGCATTAGCCCACCGTGGCCCCCTTTGTTTGGCAAAGCAATAAAGCTATTCTTTTCTGCTTCACCCAAAACTCTGTCTCCACATTTCTATTTGGCACTGGTGAACAGAGGCTGAGTTTTGGCAACACTGCTAAACTTTTTTTTTTTTTTTTTGTGGTACGCGGGCCTCTCACTGTTGTGGCCTCTCCCGTTGCGGAGCACAGGCTCCGGACGCGCAGGCTCAGCGGCCATGGCTCACGGGCCCAGCCGCTCCGCGGCACGTGGGATCCTCCCGGACCGGGGCACGAACCTGTGTCCCCTGCATCGGCAGGCGGACTCTCAACCACTGCGCCACCAGGGAAGCCCACTGCTAAACTTTTAAGAAATATTTCTGAAACACTCATCTTATGCCATGTCACAGCCAACTCTGATGTTTTAAGATCGTAAAATTCTACTACATTGATTGGGATCAACACTGAACCCCAAATAGCTATTCTTCCAATGGTTTGTGGTTTCCACTCCTGAGACCCGAATACCATTGGTGGTTCCAAGGGGACAGCATTGTGTGTGTGTGTGTGTGTGTGTGTGTGTGTGTGTTTTGCTGGGGGGGGGGTAAGGGGAGGCTTTAGCCTTCCCCATCCCTCAGTTTCCGTCACCCCACCGCTCTTTAATATGGGCAGCTGACATTTTCTTAATCTGATGTGCTATTCAACATCCTCATTTTCAATCCTCCTTCCCAGCAGAGTCCCAATGCGTCTCCTAGTGTAAAAATTCTGGGGCTACCTCTGCTGAGTAGTCTCCAAAGATTTACCCTTCCTAAGATAGCAGAATGGGTTCCATTCAGAAAAATTACTTTCCTGAAGAGCAAACATCGGAACGGCACAGCTGAGTCTTGGGCCCTGGCTTTCAACAACTTTGGGGGTTAGCTCTGCAACCAGGGACTCCAGGGCATTGTCATGCCTTTTAAAGTGGAACAGGCTATTGTTGAGGACACAGGCAGATGTAGTAAATTGGCTCTGTGCAGTGGATTCTTGTTCTTTTCCCTAGGCAGGACTTAAAGAAAAAAAAAAAGGAAGTAGGCTGCTTGATAAAAACTCCAATAGGCAGGATGAGAACTTGATTTAATACTGTTCCCAGCAGTTTACTGTGCGAAGTTCTGTAGTAGGTGTTCAGGAAACAGAGAAGTGAAAGAGGTGCAGTTTTGCCCTTGCGGGGCTGGTGGCCTAGGGATGAAACAGACATATAAACAGGTAACTAAAATACTGACTAGCCTCGGCCAGCACCTTTCATAATTTAATATTCACATGAACTACCTGGGATCTTCTAAAAATTCAGACTCTCAGAAGTAGATTTGGGGAAAAGCTCGAGATCTGCCTTTCTCACAAGATCCTAGGTGCTGCTGCTACTGGTCTAAGGTCCACATTTTATTAGTGAGGGGCCAGGCATTGGAAGCATGGCCTCTAGAGCCTGACAACCCTGGGTTCAAATCCTGATTCCTCCACTAACTAGCTGAGCGAGCTTGGAAGCTCCTTTAGCTCTCTGAGCCTCAGTTTCTTCCTCTGTATGAGGATAACAATTCCTACTCAGGGTGTAGTGTCAGCGTCAAATGGTATAGTTCAGGTTAAGTGCTCAGCCCAGTACCTGGCACACAGTAAGCACTCACTAAGTGGTAGCTGTTTGGGGGACAGGCTATTAAGAACAATTTAATTACTTTATTTTTGTGTGTGTGTTTCGTAGAATTTTAAAAAATATTTATTTGCTTATTTTGGCTGTGTCGGGTCTTAGTTGCGGCACACGGGCTCTTTGTCATGGTGTGCAGGCTTGGTAGTTGTGGTGCACCGGCTTAGTTGCCCCACGGCACATGGGATCTGAGTTCCCCGACCAGGGATCGAACCTGCGTCCCCTGTGTTGGAAGGTGGATTCTTAACCACTGGACCACCACGGAAGTCCCCTAGAATTTTTTATTTTTATTTTTTATAAGTTATTTCATTGAAGTATAGCTGACTTACAATGTTGCATTAATTTCTGCTGTACAGCAAAGTGACTCAGTTATGTATATATATTCTTTTTCACATTCTTTTCCATTCTGGTTTATCACAGGAGATTGAGTATAATTCCCTGTGCTATACAATAGGTCCTTGTTGTTTATCCAGTCTATCTATAATAATTTGCAGCTGCTAATCCCAAATTCCCAATCCATCCCTCCACTATCCCTCTCCCCCTTGGCAACCACAGTCCGTTCTCTATGTCTGTGAGTCTGTTTCTGTTTCATAAATAGGTCATATTTTAGATTCCACATATAAGTGATATCACATCGTATTTGTCTTTCTCTGTCTTACTTCACTTAGTATGATAATCTCTAGGTCCATCCATGTTGCTACAAATGGCATGATTTCATTCCTTTTTATGGCTGAGTAGTATTCTACTGTATATATATGTACCACATCCTCTTTATCCATTCACCTATTGATGGACATTTAGGTTGTTTCCATGTCTTGGCTATTGTGAATAGTCCTGCTATGAACATAGGGGTGCATGTATCTTTTTGAATTATAGTTTTGTCTGGATATATGCCCAGGGGTGGGATTGCTGGATCATATGGCAACACTATTTTTAGTTTTTTGAGGAACCTGCATACTGTTCTCCATAGTGGCTGCACCAGTTTACATTCCCATCAACAGTGTAGGAGGGTTCCTTTTCTCCACACTCTCTCCAGCATTCATTATTTGTAGACTTTTAATGATGGCCATTCTGATCAGTGTGAGGTGGTATCTCATTGTAGTTTTGATTTGCATTTCTCTAATAATTAGTGTTGTTGAGCATATTTTCATGTGCCTGTTGGCCATCTGTATGTCTTTAAGAACTGTTCTAGAATTCTGAAGTTAGTGCTATGGGCATTCAAGGAAGGCTTCACAGAGATGGCAACATTTGAGCTGTTGGGCAGAATGGGAAGAAGTATAGGGCAGATGGAGAGCATGAGCAGATGTCTTACAAGCGGCAGAATGCTGGGCACAGTTGTTCTTGGGTCAAGATTCTGTGTGACATATGGTTGGTGGAGGCTCTGCTATTTCTGCTCCTTCTGCTTCTTTTCTTTTTTTTTTTTTTTTTTTGCGGTACGCGGGCCTCTCACTGTTGTGGCCTCTCCCAGATGCGCAGGCTCAGCGGCCATGGCTCATGGGCCCAGCCGCTCCGTGGCATGTGGGATCCTTCTGGACCGGGGCACGAACCCGTGTCCCCTGCATCGGCAGGCGGACTCTCAACCACTGAGCCACCAGGGAAGCCCTCCTTCTGCTTCTTACTCGCTCCTGCTGTCATTGTTGCTCTGGAAGGGACATGTGTAGCGGTCTGCATGGAGCTGCTCTGTCCAAAACACTAGCTGTATGTGGCTAGTCAACATTTGCAATGTGCCATGCCACGTGGTGAAATGACAATATTTTGGATATACTGGGTTAAAGGAAATATATAATAAAATATGTAACAAGATATATTATTAAAATTAATGTCACTGGGTTTTTTTTTTTACCTTTTTAGAAAATGTGGCTAGTAGGAAATATAAAATTAAGTATGTGTCTCATGTTATATTTCTATTTATTTGGAGTCTCTATCTGGTCCTGACTGGTTGCCTTGTTGAGCCTGGGTCAGGGTCAGTGGGAAGGTCTGATCTGGCAGGCTAGGGTATCCTCCCAGTGGCTGGGGCAGCTAGGAAAACAGGCATGGAACAGAAATGAGGGCTGGGTTTGGGGAAGTAAGGAGATCAATCACTGTTCCACCAGAAGTTCACACATGTGTTGTGTATCAGTTAGCTATTGCTGCATAACAAACTACTCCCAAACTTAGCTGCATAAAACAATACCTGTTATGAATGCTTACACCTGTTATAATTGTTTGTGGGTCAGTTGGGAAGTTCTGTTGATCTACACTTGGCTGGGCTGATTTTGGTCTGGTCTCTATGGGCTTTGGATTTAGTTGACCTGCAATGGGGCTTAGCAACCACTAAATTTTAAAAGCTACCCAGGAGATCCTAAAGCAACCAGGATGGAGAACTATTGATTTAGACCTTAAAGTAGGGGTTCTCAAACTTGAGCATGTATCAGCATCCCCCTGAGGGCTTATTCAAATATAGATTGCTGGGTCCCACTGTCAGAGTTTCTGATTCAGAAGGTTTGGATTGGGTCCTAATCACCTGCGTTTTTTATAAGTTCCTAGCTGCTGCTGCTGCTGCTGGTCTGGGACCACACTCCTGGAACTACTGAACAGGAAGGAAACAGCTATGAGGTAATGATGAAAGAAGATTCCTACCAGACATAATGGGGAAGTAGGATCGGCTGGGAGGAGGAGGGGAGAGAAAGAGAGGAAGTGAGGTAAGAGATTAGGTTTAAGAGTCCTCACTGCTTACTTCCTGGAGGAAGTAGCAAAGGCCAGTGAGTTGTAGAAATCTCCAGAAAGGTTTTGGGGGATCTGAGAGAATCCAGCTTTCCGTGACACAGCCTAGAGAGACTGTAGGTCTCTAAGAGAAACCTGCTTTGGCATGGCATCGAATTCAAGGTGGCTCAGGAACGGTAGATTGACAAAGATTGAGGAAAACCTGGGGTGAGGGTGGACTTGAGGGTGACCGCCCAGAGTCTCAACTGCTGCACAACCTCCCTGCCACCCAAGGGTTTACATCACCCTCCCCACTGCCTTGGGACTACAGAGGTCATGGTGGACCTTTAGAAGCTGGGGTTGGAAAGAAACAATCACAGGGACACGAGGATGGAAGCAGGAGCAGGACCCACCATCATGGGTAATGGATTCCAGCATGAAATCTAGGAAACAACACGATCCAGACCAGCGTAGACCTGCTACTCCTCAGCGGGAAGCAGCAAGAATAGAAGCTGACAGGGAAAGCAGGGCCAGCACTAGGGTCAGGCAAGGGAGGCACTTTAGAACCCCAAATTTAAGGGTAGTTCAGGTGGAGGGTCAGCGCTCACTGTAGCCCCAGTCCCCACACAAAGACATGTGGGATGAGACCCCCCTAAACTGAGGTCCTACAGACCCAACAGTCTTCCCAGAATGCCGTTGGGATTCTTACATGTTCCATGCATCCGTCTTGGGAAGGGGTCAGGATACGGCACAGCCCTTGAGCTGAGGGAAAGAGTTCTGATCCCTCTGTTTCCTGGGAAAAGTCTGTTTTAAGTGAGAGGAGACTGGATTATCTTTAACAGGTAAGTTTCCTGAAACAGGAAGAGAATTTCAGACCCAGATGAGAAGAATGTTGGGAAACAAAGAAACTTGCCGGTTTCCCACAACTGAACAATAATCTGTAAGTATCAAATTTGTTACGAGGTATTTCACAGTTGACATAAATTGCATCAAAGGTTTTGACAAACAGAGCTGCCATATGATCCAGCAATCCCACTCCTGGGCATATATCCAGACAAAACTGTAATTCAAAAAGATACATGCACCCCAATGCTCATAGCAGCACTATATACAATAGCCAAGACATGGAAACAACCTAAGTGTCCATCAATAGATGAACAGTTAAAGAAGATGTGGTACATATATACAATGGAATACTACTCAGCCATAAAAAAGAATGAAATAATGTCATTTGCAGCAACATGGATGGACCTAGAGATTATCATACTAAGTGAAGTAAGTCAGAAAGAGAAAGACAAATACCATATGATATCACTTATATGTGGAATCTAAAATATGACACAAATGAACTTATCTGTGGAACAGAAACAGACTCACAGACATAGAGAATGGACTTGTGGTTGCCAAGGGGAAGGTGGGTAGTGGAGGGATGGATTGGGAGTTTGGGGTTAGCAGATGCAAACTATTATGTATAGAATGGATGAACAACAAGGTCCTACTGTACAGCACAGGGAACTATATTCAATATCCTGTGATAAACCATCATGGAAAAGAATCTGAAATAGAATGTATATGTGTATAACTGAGTCGCTTTGCTGTACAGCAGAAATTAATGCAACATTGTAAGTCAACTATACTTCAATAAAAAATTTTTTTTAATTAAAAGAAAGCCTTTTTGGCCACCTAGAGGGGTGGGAGGGAGACGCAAGAGGGAGGAGATATGGGAATATATGTATGTGTATAGCTGATGCATTTTGTTATAAATCAGAAGCTAACACGCCATTGTAAAGCAATTATACTCCAATAAAGATGTAAAAAAAAAAGAGAGAGAGAGATAAGAAGAAGGCAGAATCAAAAGAAAAAAAAAAACTTTTGACAAATGAAGATTTGTCTGAGGCAAAAAGAGTTTTATCCTTAGAAGACTTTGGTGAGGGGTTTGCTAGGAGGCTCAGACATGCCTAGTGAGGATCTGGGTAATATTTGAGCCAGATGGGGTGATGGGTAGGTAGGTGTGCCTCTGTCTGAGAAACTGGCTGAACCGACAGTGTGAGAGCAGGTCTGGGATCAAGTAGACCAGGCCCCTTAGGAATTACTTGGTTACTCACTGGGTCAGCAGCATTTTTTTTGGAAATGGCGGGGGCCCAAGGGGCAAGGACAGTCTCTGGGTCACGCCAGATCCAGGGAAAGGCCTGGGGTTACCAACTGAACATACCCCGTGTTGGGCTGTACCCCATAGGCCTGTAAGCACTTTTCTTGCCCAGCTTCAAGACTGAAGAAAGAGCCCAGAGTCAGTGACAGAGACATCAATGGTTTAATGGATGGGGGAATCATACATGTCTGAAGCAAGGTCCTGGAGTCACACCCCACTGTGCGCAGTGCACGGCGGGCAGGACATAGCAGGAAGCTTCGCTATGGGGGCAGCGTGGGGGGTGGTTTACCAGTTATAGAGGGACTTGACCTCAGGTTGGCTCATCAGTTGCCAGGGAAACCAGCAGAGGGCGCACCTCTTCGATAAACTATCATCGTGGAGACAGTTCTCATCGGAAGAGTAGAAGAGTCACAAGCTGGGGTCAGGGCAAGTATGGAGGCATTTGCTGGTTAGGCTCCGTGGTTAAGAGGGAAGGTTAGTCATGTGAGTAGGCGTAGGTGAAGCAGGGACTGGCCGAGCAGGGGATGTACAGAGAGCAAGAGAACGGCCATCTTGGGTGGCCTGATCATATAGCCCCATACAAGGCGTACAAGCTTGTGTGTCAGACACCATCCACTCTGAGACTGTGATGGGGCATCTGATCTCATCAGGGAGGTCTGTGGTTTGGGCGGTCAGGAAGGCAAAATGTGGTTCCCACACAGTGAAGTCAGCCCAGCCACAGAGATGAGCCACTGTTAACTGACAGTCAGGAGACCCTTCTCCCTTCCCAATGCCTGACCTCACTGTTAACTCAGCTCTCGCCAGTACGATCCCTCGCCTTCTCCAGCTTCGCATGCACTGTGTGTCTTCCCTCTAAAGATGGCATGAAGTCAGGTTAGGGAAGGCCTTGAATGCCAGGTCAAGGGGATGGTATTTGTCCTGTAGGCAATGGGGGCCATGGGAGGCCTTTGGGCTGAGAGATGGCCCACCTTGAATCTCCCATTCCCCACACTCTGGCTGGCTTATAGAAATTTATGCTCAATACACTTGGCGGGGTAAATGATTCAAACAGTGTTTTAGGAAAGACTGGGCAAGTTTCCACTATTTTAGTACAGCCTCTTCTCCAACTCTCTAAAGCAATCTCCAACCCATCCTTTCTCTGCAGGGTGGTTTACACTTATTCATTTCTACTAATTGCCCATTTGCTTTATTCAGGAAGACTATCGCTCAAGCTTCAGAGATTTTAACTCTGAACCTAGAAACATGGATAGTCTAGTAGGGTTTGACATTTGTTCTCACTAAAAGTACTTTGGTTGACCTACCTTTGATTTTCTTTTCCATGGTAACCTTCAAAGTTGATCAGTTTTAATGGAATTTGAGCACTGCAAAAGGCATCAACATGCATCTTAAGATAATAATGGCTTCATTTGCCCTGTGCCCAGTCTCCGGGACTCTGTGGGGTTAGAAAGGGAATGATAAAACATTGTTTGGTGTCGCAGGAACTCTGCTCCCTGTCAGACCTGGACTCAGATCCCAGCTCTGCCACTGATTGGCTGTCTGACCTGGGATGATTTGCTGAATATCTCTTAGCCTCAGTTTTTTTCTTGAAAAGTGGATACTGCCTTTGTGCCTGGCTTACAGAGTTGTTGTGAGGATGGAATGGAATCCATGTATGTGGAGTGTGTAGGGCTGTACTTGGTCACAGGGTAAGGGCTCAATAAATGGAAATAGTTATTATTAAACATCACCAAGTGGTGACAGCCCTGAGGACTGGGATTCCGTTCAGGAAGCTACTCATCTTCAACCCGAGGCCCACGAAAAATGCTGGGGCCGTTTCTAGGCAAGGATGAGGAGAAATACCGTAAGACATACTTTAAGGTACTTAAAATGCAAAACTCTTTCTCCTGGCAGGGCTCTTTAGCCTCAGAGATATTTGGATTTAAACTTGCAGGAGAGGTGTTTTTTTTGTTTTGGTTTTGTTTGGTTGTTTAGTTTTCAATACTAGATAAAAGTGGAGCCAGAGGTGAAGCAAGAGGGGGGCACAAGTGACTAGGTGGAGAGAGAGGTACAGGAGTCTTCTTTTTTTTTTTTTTGGTGTGCAGGCCTCTCACTGTTGTGGCCTCTCCCGTTGCGGGGCACAGGCTCCGGACGTGCAGGCTCAGCGGCCATGGCTCACGGGCCCAGCCGCTCCGCGGTGTGTGGGATCTTCCCGGACCAGGGCACGAACCCGCGTCCCCTGCATTGGCAGGCGGACTCTCAACCATTGTGCCACCAGGGAAGCCCAGGAGTCTTCTAAGTAGGACAAGGAAGAAGACATTTATGTCATAGGGACAGGGCCAGCTTTAGTGGCAGTGGCACAGATCCCATGCTCAGAAAGACCCTGTGCTTGCTTTTGATCAAAGGGCCCCTCATTTTCATTTTGCACTGAGCCCTGAAAATTATGTGTAGCCACTCCTGCATAACTGTAAAGGTCAGGGGTGGAAAGGACCCAGTGGACAATGAACTGCCTGCTGTTGACCTTAAAAACTGTCAACAGTTTTAAAACTGACCTTAAATTATTAAAACAGCTAGTTATTTTACCAGCAAATGAATTTATCTGGGAACAGCAAAGTACTGTGATTGGAGACATGTAATCTATGATAAACCATAAGCATTGTCCAGAAAACAAAGGAAGGGAGCCTGCTTTTATAGGGCAAAGGAAGGAGTTGGGAGGGGCTGTTTTAAATGACAGTTCACTGGGGGAAAGGAGGAACTCAGGGTGGTGATGACGTCTCATTAGCTTAGCAGTGACATTTCTCATTGGCTGGGCTGTTGCTGTGCTAGGAGAAATTCCGCCTTGGCATTTCCCGTTCAGGAGTGCAAGGTACCTTCTTCCCTCCTGGAGGCGATTGACATGGAGTAGCAGGGCATGAGAGCTCCCCCTTCTGGCTTCTCGATTTTATTTACTTATTTATTTATTATTATTATTTTTTTAACATCTTTATTGGGGTACAATTGCTTTACAACGGTGTGTTAGTTTCTGCTTTATAACAAAGTGAATCAGTTATACATATACATATGTTCCCATATCTCTTCCCTCTTGCGTCTCCCTCCCTCCCACCCTCCCTATCCCACCCCTCCAGGCGGTCACAAAGCACCAAGCCGATATCCCTGTGCCATGTGGCTAAGTGCCCATCATCGGATGAATGGATAAAGAAGATGTCGATTTTATTTTAAATGAGGTTGCTGTTTTCACACTGCCCGTGTGAATCATCCAATGACCATCACCTTTGGACCACAGGCTATCCCAGAATCCTCAACACTTTTAAGTCCCCTTGAGTGGAGAGCGAGGACCTGTATGTGTATGGGGCTGGCCCTAAGAAAGGAAAATCGTGCTGCCCTTGGTCAAGGTGGATCTGAATATAACCAGGAAGGCATTTCCCTATGAGCAGCTGTTAGACCTGTGCTCTCTGAAGCCCATACTAGCTGCCCTTGCCCATAGGATATCTTGCCCTGTTGTGATTTTTCCACATGTGGGAGTAATATAACGGCTGTCTGGTGCTGCTGCCTCCTCACCATCCTTACTTCCTTTGTGGGAACTTCCCTTCTCTTTTCCTTGTGTTTCCAGTGGGCTGCCATTCATGGTGTGCCGTCCCTAGTGCTTACATGGGCACCTGACCGAGGCAGTGCCAAACCGAGTGCTACATCCCCCCTTGCATCTGCGCTCGCTCCAGGGGCTGCCGAAGTTGAAGCTGCCTCTGTCCTCTGATTGCATTGAGATGGAAACTGCAGGTCTCCAAGAGACAGACTAATCAGAGTATTTCATTCCTTCTCCAACTCCTGTAATCACAATGCAAGATTTTACTCGTACTCTTCCGGTTCCTACATGAATGTAGATTCTTCAGTTGCTCTGATGGGCACAGACCCCTGGAGCTGGTGCAGTTCACCCAGTGACAGAGTCAGATGACAAAGGGTC